ATGTACTAAATTATTAAACTTTACTTTTGCGTATTACTTTTCTCGGATGAGCGAACAATATGTGAACCTTGATGGTACTATCAACATGTTGGTGTTGACAATTAGTCGGTTGAGCAGTCAGTTTATAACAATTAATCAACAGGTTGGGCAAATTTGGCACCATGCCTTTTGGACTTGAGCCAAAATCGCTCGTTACCACCGCATTATTCTTCTAAACTCCACCTTATCTTACCTTAATTTGTAGTCTGTGACAAAATGTTCTACAAAAAGTGCTGAGTATTATTCATAAATTACGTTTAGGGTAATGTATTACACGAAAACATTCTCCGCTAGAAGTAACTAAAAGCATAATAGAGTAGTAATTAGTTGAATAACAAAATGTATAAAGTCCTAGGAACGCTAAAAGTTGCCTGGTTTTCTGTTGAACCTGAAAAGATACCCCCGAGAGTTTTGTCCTTGAAACAAAATGGCTGAAAAAGTAACTGTCAGGGACATAATTTTTAAAGTCAATCGTCGTGCGGCCGGCTTACGGGCTAGACGCGTCTAATAAGTATAAATTCTAAACTAAAATATTAAAAGAAGTGCCAATCGAAAAAGTACCTTAAAGTGTTATTCTTAGTGTCTATTTAGTGATTATTACGTGATAAGACTTAAGACTTTTTACCGGCGAGTTGTTTACTATTGCAGCCGTCGATGAACAAAAGAATGCATTGAATGGCTTATCGCTGCGAATCGATTGGTGTTAATCTAATTTAACTTCTAATGATTTTGCACTAAAGCGCATATTTGTTATATCAAATAAAAATGAGTTTACTGGAATCAACAAGTAAATGCGGCGGATCGCAACATGACTTGACAAAATCGAACGAGGGTAGTAAGAACATGGATAAATCGCAAATCACGTTCCGCAAGCGTAAAGAACTGGATTCTGACCTTAGAATGAAGGAAGAATTTGAAAGTTTAAAAAAGGAAATGAGGTCTTTTCTGACAAAAATGTCTACAATACAAAATGAAAGTGTGGCTAGTATACGGCAAGACATGAATGAAATTAAAGAACAATTGGTTGGTATAAAAACAAGTACAGATAAAATAATAGAAGATCAAGAAATAATGAAAAAAGATATAGATAACTTAAAAAAACTATGTGAACAAAACGAATTAAAAATAAAAAGTCTCCAATCTTCGTCATCACTCATACACTCCAACATATCTACAAATGTTTATGAAGAAATGATTAATGAATGTCAGGAACGGATTACTAAACAGAAAAATATAATTATTTATAATATTCCGGAGTCGTCCTGTAAAATTTCAAATGATAGACTAGATCATGATAAGAATGAAGTAAGTAAAATTATTAATAAAATAGTGGATGGCTGCGGTCAGCCTATAAAAATCTTCAGGATTGGCAAATATAATCCGCAGAAACCACGACCTGTGAAGGTATGTTTTGAAAATGTAGATGTCGCACTTCAAATTCTTCGCAATAAGAGTAATCAAGCCGAGTTTAAAATATATTCGGATCAGACGTCCAAACAGCGAATGTATCTATCTCAACTGAGAGAGGAACTGATGACACGCCAACAAGAGGGTGAACAGAACCTCACTATAAAATATGTAAAAGGAACACCAAAGATCATAACTCAACAGTCAAAAAACTAATACAAAAAGATAAAGAAAAGATAAATCATTATCTAGCGACCAAATATGAAAACCTGAGCCAGACTCCATCATCACTCCGCTTCCTTTATGCTAATTTAAGAAGTATTAGAACGAATAAGAAATTTGATGAACTAAACTGCATAATTAAAACAATACCAAAGACAACTCACTTTCTAATATTTACAGAAACCCATATTACATCGGATCAAGAGGCCAAAACATACATTCTACCTAATTACTCACACGTCTACAACTACCGGAAAGACAAAGGAGGTGGAGGTGTCTCCATTTATGCCCACAAAAATATAAATTTTGAGGTGACTGACGACATTTATGAAAATGGCAACCATTACTTATGGATATATACAAAGAAATGATCTCTGAATATCGGAGTGATATATAAGCCAGATGGTGATGCCGCGATGGATAAGTTTTTGGATATATATACATCACAATTAGAGAAACGAAAAAGGTCGATTGTATTCGGCGACTTTAATATCGATTTATTAAAAAAAGATAATTACGTCACGAAATATGTAAAAGCCATAGAAGAGAGTGGATACGAAATACTAAATAAAATCGACTTAGACTATTGTACACGCGCCACGGATAAGACAAACACTATCATAGACCATATATGTACAAATGTAGACAACCACTCTTTTAGCATGTCGATTATAGATTCGTCCCTCTCAGACCACAAGCAGCAATACCTTGAAATAGGCAAATGGGCACCACCTAAACCACAAAAGATACATTATAAATCGATTAACTATGAAAAGCTTCTCCAAAATGGCTCACAGGCTAATATACACACTATAGATAGTTACGATAATTTAGAGAAATCGATTTTAAAAATAATAAACGAGAGTAAGATAGACAAAATCAAATATAACAATCTACCCCGAAATGATTGGATCAACAAAAATATAATCGATGTTATAAATATGAGAAATGACTTGAACCGGCAACTTAGGCACAATTCACAAAAGGAAAATTTGAAGAAGGCATACTCTCTTGCACAGAAGAAAGTTCATACTCTTATTAAAACCTGCAAAGAAGAATACTACTTTCGACTATTTAATAATTATACTAATCAACCAAAAAAGATGTGGGAGGTTATCAATAGTTTGGCAATAAATAAAGTTAAGGAGAACAATATTATTCCTAAGCTAATATTTAATTCTAAAGTTATTATAGACGGCGATGAAATATGTAATGCGTTTAATGCTTTTTTCTCGTCAATTGGCACAGAACTGGCAAATAAAATACCAAAAAAATATCACGAAACTAATTCTCTATCCGATGAAGCACATTACTTACATAAAAATGAATTAAATGAATTCCATCCTTGCAGTTCAGAAGAAGTCATTAGCATTATTAATAATTTAGACAATAATACAAGCACAGGAGTAGACGGTATCAGCACTAAATCACTAAAATGTCTGAAAAATGTGATAGTGGAACCCTTGGTTAATACGATCAATAAATGCTTAGATGTAGGAACATTCCCAAGTTCTCTCAAGATTGCCAAAGTGAGTCCTATTTATAAATCAGGTAACAGGGCTGACCCCAGTAACTATAGGCCAGTATCAGTTCTGCCCATTATTTCGAAAATTTTTGAAAAAATTATTTACAAACGCCTAAATACTTACCTCACTGATAATAACTTCTTAATTGAAGAACAATACGGTTTTCGTCCACAATCTAGTACCATTACAGCAGCAGTTGACCCTATCACCAAAGTCAAAGTGCATATTGATAAAAAAGACTATGTATTGGGTATATTTATTGATCTAAAAAAAGCATTTGACACTGTTAGCCACCGAAAGCTATTAATTAAATTAAACAACCTCGGTATTACTGGTATAGCTCTAAAAATGCTTACAAGTTATTTGAATAATAGGAGGCAGGTCGTTAAAATCGGTAATTTTAAAAGTTCGATTCGTGAACTGAATGATTTTGGTATTCCACAAGGATCAATATTGGGTCCATTGTTGTTTCTAATTTACGTAAATAATATAAATACAATAGGTCTCACAGGTCATCTTACGCTATATGCGGATGACACATGTCTATTCTACTTTGGTAATTCTTTTGATACTCTATTAAATAATGCTCAAAACGATTTAGACAGACTTAATGAATGGTTCCTAAATAATTTGTTAACAATCAATATAAAGAAAACTTCATTTATAATATTAACAGCAAAGAATAAGCCTATACCAGATTTCGCTCCCCCCAAAATAAATAATGATACTCTTCAAAGATCATGTGAAGAAAAGTATTTAGGGTTAGTAGTAGACGACAAACTAACATGGAAGCCGCATATAGAAACGGTCAAGTCAAAATTAAAGGCAGTCCTAGGAGCTCTTTACAAAGTAGCCCATTGTATTCCAAAGAAGGTTAAAGCACTTATATATAATTCTTTAGTAAAACCGCACATTGAGTACTTAATAGAAATCTGGGGATCAGCTGCGTCAACTTACCTAATGTCATTACAAAGAACACAGAATAAAATTATAAAAGTATTATATCATTTCGATTACCGAACACCAACTAATGAAATATATAACAAAACAAAATTATTTAATATTGCCCAAATATATAAATTTAAAACTTGTACTCTTATAATGAATATAACAAATAATAAAATTAAATCTAACATAAAAATAGAAAAGAGGGATAACAAACATAATTTTCGCAATAAACACAAATTAACATTAATTACTCCGCGTACTAACTATGGAAATAAAACTGTATTGTTTGAAGGCGTTCAAATGTTTAATAAACTGCCAGACGAGATAAAGAACTGTGAAAGTGTTAAAGTTTTTATAAACAAACTTAAATCATATCTCATCGCTGTAATGTCATAATCTATTCTCAATATTATATCTAGATATAATTTCTGTTCAATTTAACTTCTTATAGTTGTACGTACTAAGGTCTGTTTTTGATTTATACTAATTTTATATATTGTTACTATATTTTGTATTAGCCCGTAAGCCCTTATATTATATTTTACATTTATACTCATTGTAAGCGAAACTTTGTGTTTTTTATGAGTAAATAAAGATCTTTAAACCGAATTTGCAGGTGAGCTGTACAAGCTGAAGATGCTGACTGCAAAGATAATGGTGTTCTGCATGAATTACCTGCTCGACAAGCAGGAGGAGGAGAAGCTCGAGTGTCTCTGCAAGCTGCTCACAACCATCGGGGAGCAGGTCGTCATCACCTCTCATCACATGTCACTACACATCACCTCAACATGTCACTTAATGTATTGTATTGCAGGTGGAGAGCGAGGTGAAGGAGCCTCTGGACGCGGTGTTCAAACGTATGCAGAACATAGTGGATCGGCGCGGCGGTGGTGGAGGAGCTGGTGGTGGTGGAGGCGGGGGCGCGCTGAGCAGCCGTGTGCGCTTCATGCTGCAGGATGTGATCGCGCTGCGCCGCCGCCGCTGGGCACCGCGCGCCGCCGTGCACCACGCACAGCCCACCACCATGGACCGCATACAGCGCGAGGCCGACCTGCATCACAGGAACATCGAGGTGACACACCTCGACTGTCACCACACTGGACCCCACACACCCTGGACCGTGGGGTCCCCCCACACACCCCACACACCCTGGACCGTGGGGTCCCCCCACACACCCCACACACCCTACCTCACTGACAACTTCCTCCCCCACACATGTTGCAATGCAACTAATGCTTATTTTATGTAAATGTATTTCCAGCTGATGAACTCCATGCCGCTGTCGGGGGGCTACGGGCGACGCGAGGAGGAGGGCGGGGCGCGGCGAGGTGCGCGGGGGGAGGGACGCGGGGAGCGGCGCGGTGCGGGGGCAGCGGGGGGCGACGGGGAGTGGAAGTCGCCCCGCCCCTACACAGTCGACGTGTCCAAGATCAAGGCCGGCTCGCTCAAGGTATTCACTGCGACCTAACAAAGCTGTTGCCTTACAGTAAAGATTTGTGACCCCCCCCCAGGGAGCGGGTACTTATGAGTGACGTGACCTTTTCAGAATCTGAGCAACATAAAGCTGGCGCCGCAGCACTCCGGCTGGAACCACGGCGCGCGCTCCTCACCACCCGCACCAGTCATAGGCATCAGGAACGACTACAGCCTGCTGGAGAACTCCTCGCTGGACCCCGCCTCGCTCAGATGTATGTACACACAACAAACAGTTAACTGTATCACGTGACTATTGTAGAGATAAGTATTCATGTTTATATTATTATTCTGTTTTCAGCAAATTCTGAGGCATTGGGTTTTAGAAAAGGATCGAGCGAAAAGTCAACGAAAGCCGACAGCGAGTGAAGAACCACCTCACATCATATATATATATATATATATAAATTGAACAAATGATAAGGCTGCTATATATAAACTTAATCTCATTTAGAAATATTGAGGAATTTAATGTCACATAATTGCATATATCTTGATAGAAGATCTTCTGTAGTCTGACATTAATGTAAAATGTAATTTTAGTCAATAAAAAATCTAGTTGAAACCGGTTTGTGAAATCGGTTGTAACCGGTTCAGACCAGTTTTGTCAGTGTACATTACTATATATTTAATCATAAATCAATTGAATTCATCTTTATATGATTAATGTAGTACATAACAATGTGATATATAAATAAGTACATAATGTGAGCTCTGCGTTTCATGTGTTTGTTGTCTTGTGCCAACTTTATATTAATTAGAAATCTGAAACACGTCAAAATGTCAAAACAAAACATTCCTGTCAATTTGTTTATATCAAATCAATATGGAATCATTTGTAAATAAATGTCAAACTTATCTCGCGAGGTGACACTGACACTAAAGTACTGTCCTTCAACTGTAGCTTCTCTTTGTCATCGTCATTTCCTATAGCTATGTACATTTACATATTTTCTGTCACAAAACAGATAACTTTGATGTTTATCTCTAAAAGCGATAGCTTCGCCTGTCACCTGTCGCCTGTCACCTGTCGCCGAGCACGAAGGTGACAGGATATTGTCGCAACAAAATGTATACACAGTGGATCTCATTTGAATAATTTTTGATATATTCTTGATAAATTCGTAAGATTGATTTGTTTTCTGATATTATTTTAGTATTATGTTAAGTTTTATATATATGTGTGTGTGTCCACTGTTGTTATTTTGATATTTATGTACTTTGCTAATACAAATGTGATGATCTCCATACGAGTTGTTAGCGATTGTGCAATTTATTGTAAGTATATATGTTAAAGTTATATTCAATGTTGGAACTGGACTGGACTGGACTGGACATGTTGGCGGCATGTGCATGTTGTTCTTTGTTTAGATTTACTAAGGGAGGCATTTTTTTTTTTATATAAACGAATCCCGGCTCATTTCTATTTGTTTATTTTTCTATTAACAAAATGTTTTCTACAAAATTAATTATTATTTTGTTATAAAATGAATATATTATCAAAAAAAAAAAATGTAGTTTACTTTAATATAGAAACAGTTTGTAAATGTGTGTAGCTTGCATTTATTCAAGATAATGTGATTTTCTTTATTTTTTTTTATTTTCTCGCATACAAAGTCTGTAAACTTTATTATATCTTTATTTGGAATGTCGTCTATTTTATTG